GGGGAGGGGAGAGGGAAGAAGGGGAGTTGTTTGCTTTTTTTTTAAGTTTCGCTTTTTAAATCTAGGTGAAAGTGCTTTTAAAAAAATTCTTTCCCTATGTACAGGTTTAAAATCAGACCACGTAAATGTTCAGGTTGTTTTTTACCGAGATCCTGCTGATCCGTGTCCCGTGCGCGGGGGAAGGAGGGTGACAGTAAACACGAGGTGGTTCCCGCACGGTGACGGCGTCGGCGCTGCCTCGCTGGCTCTTCTAAAAGGCACCTCAAAGTGCAAAAGCAACAACACCCCTGGGGACGCCGGGAACCTGGATCCGTCTGTGCCGCGCTCCTGGGGAGCTCTCCCGCCCCTCCGTCTGGGCGCGGCTCCGGCGTCGGGCGGGAAGTCTCGACGGAGATTGTTCCAAAAGCACCACGCGGTTGTCGTCGTCATCGTCGTTGGGTTGTCAGCTGGGTTTGGGTGTTTTTTTTGCGGGAAGAACGGTGATCCATAGGAAGGAGGGATGGCACCCGGGGAGAGTATAAAGAGCACCGAGCCCCGGCGGCGCTGGGGCCACTACGCCGGCTTGCTGGCACCGGCAGGGAAGGCGGACCCGGCGGGATTTGGCCCAGCCAAGTCTTCGGGATTCGCTCTTCCCGGAGCCGATCGCGCAGAGAAAGTCCCCCGGAGACGGAAAGCACCAGACTTTAGCAACAGTGATGTACAGAGAGCAACACTCGCTATTCACAGTTTGGGGTTGGTTTGTGGTTTTTTTTTTCCTGGATTTTTGTATTTTTTTGTTTCTGTTTCTTTGTCTTGTCAGCTCCTTTGGAGATGCCGCCACTGCCGCCACTGCTCACCCTGGGGCCATTGGCAAAGTAGCCACAAGTCCGAGCCCGAGCATGGCCCCCCCAGCAGCAGCATTCCCAGCCCAGCCGTGTCCTGAGGTCTCCGGCACCAGGAAAGACGTTGGCCCGCTCCGTCCCGGTGGAGTCAATCCCGCTGGAGGAGGAGCCGAGTGAAGAGGTGCCGCCTCGGGATGTCCCACTTTTCGTGGGCTCCCATCGCTGTAAGAAAGGGCTCCTCAAGCTGCAAAATAAGTATTTTTATGTCCTTTAGGAATAAAAATATTCGGCTGTTCAGCGTGTTCGGCTGACAGTAAAGCACATGATCCTGATAGCCTCAGAGCTGCAGGGAGTCACCTCTTGCCTTTAAGCTGGTTTGGTGTTCAGGTTGGTTTGGATTTGTGTTCAGGGTGGGTTTTTTCCACGTTGGCTTCTCTTTCGAAGATCGGCTTCGTCGTCGTCGTCATCGGAGTAAAAAATAAAATCAAATCAAATCCGACAAATAGGCTTTTCCTTTAAGTGGAATTAAAAACCTCTCCTCGTGAAAGGACGCTAGGAAATTCATCTGAGGCTAGATTAAAAAACATGGAGATATAAATAGGAGATTACCTAAAATCATCAAACAGCATCGTTCCTCCTGGGTGCCTTTTTTACCCAGTTTTGCTTGGTATGCCAACTCCTCACCGGCGCAGCTCTTTGACGGCGCATGCCCGCGCCGGCTCCGCGCGTCGGGTTCTCTTCCTATGGGTTGGATATTTTTTTTTTTTGTGGTGTGGCTGTTGTGTTTTGCTTCACTTTTGTCTCTTTATTTTTTATTTTTTTCTTCTCCCCACGCCCGAGGAGAAAGCACCACGAAGCAACGCCGGGCACCGGCACTGCCGAGGGTTGAGGTAAGATGGGGCCACGGCGGTTGCGCCCGTCTCAGATCCAGCGGCTGTAGGGGCCTGTCACCTTGGTGTAGGCGTAGGAGGACACAGTGATGGCGGAGTTGGTGGGGATGGCCACCGCCTGCCGCGTGGGGACCGAGTCCCTCCTCTCCTTGCTGGGTGCCTCGGTCGCCAACGCACCGCCCCACTTGCGCTTCTTGGCGAAGGCTTTGGCGTCCGGCGGCAGACCCAGGCGCGCTGCCTCCTCCTGCCGGGCCCGCGCCCGCTCTGCCAGCTGTTTCATCTTGGCCTCCCACAGCGCCAGGCCGTGGTTGGGCTGGTTCAAGTTCTTGTGTTGGTAGAAGACGAGGGAGATGCGGGTGGGGTGGCAGCGGTTGGGTTTCTTCAGCGGGGTGGTGGCATGGAGCTCGCGGCGGGCACACTCAATGAGGATGGAGCCGTGGGCAGGCGCCACGGCCACGCCGCCGATGTTTTCGTCCAGGAAGTTGTGCTCGCTGTCCGACCACTCCTCCTCCTCTTCCTCCTCCTCCTCCTCCTCCTCTTCCTCCTCCTCCTTCACCGCCTTCTCTGACAGATCCTCCTCCAAGCCAAAGGGGTCCCATGGTTTGTCCCGGCGGGGCCCTGCCGCCCCCTTCTCACCCAACGCTGCCTCCCATGGCTTCTCCGGCAGCCCCGGGCTGGGTGCCGGTGTCCTGCGCTCCTCCACCTTCACGGAGCCCCACGGCTCCTCGGGGAAGCTGGGCAGCCCCGGCAGAGCCGAGCTGAAGCCCAGTGAGCCCAGCAGGCTGGGGGTGCCCGTGCCGGCCAGCGCTGCCTCCCCGAGCTTGCAGGGGCTCCACGGCTTCGGCAGCAATCCTGACCCACGCGCCGGTGCCGCCGCTGGCTCTCCTGCCGCCAGGACATTGGGCCACTGCTTCTCCGGTGGCGGCAGGCGTGCGGTGGCGTCGAAAGCGCTCAGCTTCTCCCGCCCATCTGCGCCTGGCACCAGCACACCCCACGAGCCCTCGGCCGTGTTAGTCCTCTCGGGGGAAGACGCGCCCCGTGGCGCCTTGAAGGGGCTCCAGCGCTGCTCTGGCGCCGCGCCATGTGCCGGGATGGCCGGCAGTGTCAGGTCGGCGCTGGGCACGGCCGCTGCACCAGGAAGGGGCTCGATGGCAGGCGGAGGGTCCGGAGGCTCCTGCTTGATGGGGCGGCTGCCAAAACAGTTCTGTGCAAAGGACGGTGCCTCCTCTGAGCCTGGGTTAGTCCTGTGTGCCCCGGCAGCCGTCGCTTTCTGCTGGCTGGCGTAGCGGTTGGCCCGCTCGTAGGTGCGCTGGTGGTGGTTCTTGCTCCGCATGCCATGAGGGACGGGCTCAGGGAAGTTGGTGTTCCCGTAGGTGTGGTTGAGGTTCTCCTGCAGCACCGAGACGTCGGGCTTCTTCTCGTAGCCATTGCTCACCCAGGTGCTCCCGCCCCGCTCAGGCGCCCCGTAGTTGAGGAACTGCGAGGGGAACACGTGGTTGCTGGAAAAGCCGTAATACCCGAAGGAGGGAAGCGCGAACTTGGAGTGAAACCCGTTCACGGAAGGCAGATTGGGCTGTGCATAGTAGGAATGGTAAGAGTAAACACTGTTCATGCTGTAGGGGTCGGAGGGCCGGCAGCTGCCCAGCACCGAGTAGCTCTCCACCACCGCGTTGCCATTGTACTTGAAGGCGTTGTAATGGCTCTGGGGTTCCACCTTGATGGAAGGTTTCAGTGGCTGCGGGGGGATCCCGCTTTTCAAGGCCATACCTGTGGGACAGCACACACAGCCCCTGTGACCCACCAGCTGAGGGAGCCACTGGAGGGGAGCGACAACCCTGAAACACTTGGTCAAGCTCAGGAATTCCAGAGAGCACGGAGGTTGGGGTTGGCATTGCCCAGCATTGCCCGGGATTCACACCCATGCTGAGCGCTGCAGAGAGAGCTCCCACCGCTCCACGGCACAGGGAAAAACCCAGGTGCCATGGAAAAGTCATCCATGCCATCCGGATAGGCAGGACAACTGGGGACTTGGTGGCTCAAGAAGGAGCATCCCAAATTAGTGGGGAGCACTCCAAAAACCCCACCAGGCTCCCACTCTCCACCTCAACACACCTACCCATCCAGTCGTATCCCAATCCCCTCACACACTTCCCGGTCGGCTTGGGGGTGGCAGGACCTCACCTGTGCCCCCGTTACCTGTGTTTGGCTGGAGCGTGGGGAGCTCCAGCACTTCCTGCTTGATCTTCTCCGGCGTCATCAGCTTCTCCTTTTGCAGCTTCTTCTTCTCCGCGGCGGCTTTCCTGGCCTCCAGCTGCCTCTGCCGGCAGGACTTGGCAGGTTCAGGCAGCCTGCGGACCTCGCGCGGGAAGGACGTGAGCACCTGGATGGCCCCGCTGCCCACCTTGGCGTTTTGGTTCTCCTCGCTGCCGAACTCATCCGTGCTGGACATCTTGTAGAGGGGCAGGACGTGCAGCTGCTCATCCTCGGGGATTTTTCCCACCACGCGATTGTCTTCCTTGGTCAGTGTGCAGACCTGGGGGGGTGGGTGCTGTCAGCGGGGTGCTGAGGGATGTGGTCTGTGCTGGATGGGCCAAACCTCCTCCTTATTCCCCCATCAACACGAATCCACACCAGCCTGGCATTCCCTCCGCTCTGGTCCCCAGCTGCCATGGAAACCTCCCGTGGGTTGGACAAAAGCAAATGCTGGTCCCCGTTAGCACCTGAGTCTGGCTGGGGTGGCTTCAGCACTCACAGACCTGAGGTGTCATTTGAGGTGTCACACCAAGGACCTGGAGCCAGGCAGGGAGGACAGAATATGCTGAGCTGGAAGGGACCCACAAGGATAATCAAGTCCAACTCAGCCCTGCACAGGACACCCCCAAAATCCCACCAAGTGCCTGAGAGTGTTGTCCAAACACTCCTTGAACTCCATCAGGCTTGGTGCTGTGACCACTGCCCTGGGGTAGGACAACTGGGGACCCAGT